AAGAAAAAATACTCTCGATTCAATCAGATTTAAGCTTGAATCTAGAACCAAGCCTCTTAATTTGAGCGGATTTCCTTTTGATTTAAGCTTAAATCTGATTGAATCAAGAGTCCTTTTTCTTGTCAATGTTTTCAAGAGTCTGGACTCTAGATTCAATGTGTGTGTTTTTTTTTCCAGTGTACAAACAAAATTATCTGCGAAATTGGTATACAAAGATTAAAAAATTTCCTTGAAAATTGGAGATTTGCGGGGGGAAATCTGGCAACGCCTAAAGGCTCAAACGGCGTTTTTCCTTAGCACGGCAGTACACTTCTCAGCTCAGGACTTGACTTCGGACCACTAGAGCCATGATGATCCAACTTTTCAGTGGGAGGAAATAGTGGATCGTATAAGCCCAGCTCGGCATGTCATAGATGAACAGGAATCACTCTTTTAATAATTTCCCCGATCAACCGTGCGACTAGCTCTATATTTTGCCCTGATAGCATCTGATTCATACGCTATTGCTATAAACAGAGGCTTCTGCTTAGCGAGCCTGGCCCGAGCGTTGAATGACCTTTTGCTTTCTCGCTCCCTCCCCCGCCATCACTCGTGCTGACTGGTTGAGTACATACATTAGGAGCAAACGAGAGGCAAGTACCCGGACGGGGGTACAAAGCTCAGCACAACCGCCGTTGCGAATGGATCATCGCCGATGCTCGCAGGAAAAAAGAAGCGATGTCGTACGCGCGTCGTTGAGGTTGAGTTGAGACGAAACTCGAGCTTGAGCATAGGGTGTTCTGAAACGTCAGCCATGAGCTGATGGAGTCATTAGGTAAAGGTGAAGTACCTACATAGGGAGAGTGTGGACAAGACGGTAATGGAGAATTTGTATGCAAATTTTTTAATGCTTCATCTGAAAGTGCTTAGAGAGCTAATTTCACAGTTTTTTATAATTTTTTTCTGATATGGAAAATAGTATAAAAATAGATTTAAAAGTGAGAAAATGCACCACCTAGTGACGTCATCTGGCGGCATTTCCCATTTAAACAGACGTATTTTAGCAGATTAGTTTATTTTTTCATATATTGTCCAATAATTGTTCAATTTAAGAACCAAGGGTATTCTCGTGTTCAGCTTACTCAGTAGTTTCCACTTAAATACGAAAATCAGACACCTGCAAATTCTCTATTCTGGGGTTAGGTCATGGCGCTGTCAGGGTCCAAAAGGGTAGCCAAACTGTGAATTCAAATTATCCAGAGTAATTTATTAGTTAGACTTATTGTTAGTGTTTGCATAAAGTCGTTCATTTTCGAGGAAGAGCACGTACTCATTTGCAAACATTCTTGACCATGTCTTTTGATATTGAAATCTGAAGATTGGCAGTATCATCTTTTGTGTTGGATGGTTGGCTACCCTTATGGGCCCTGAAAGCTACATATTCGGACATGTTGGTATTCTCCCCATATATTTGTAGGTACTTTAGGTAAGGGGTGGGAGTTAGAAACATTCTGAACACATTCAGGTGTTAATGCTAGAGCTTATGACGTTTTGAACATCCACTTGGACTATTCAAATCAAATACCTTGAATGACATACGATGACGATCTCGGAGACTTCAACGAAAGGGTAGGAAAGTAAGCAAAACTCGCAAAAAAACATCTCAAAAGCCATTAGAGGTTCTGCTAGAACTTAAGATCATGATATCCTTTTTTTGGTCTCTTTCAATCAGAATTGAGAATGACTTTCGAGGACGATATCAAAGACTTTAACGAAAGGGTAAGAAAAAAAGCTAAACTCGCAATAAAACATTCGGCACTATATCCAGTGTTGCTGCTGGAGCTTTGGACTGTTTGGACATTAACTTGGTCTTTTCGAATCAAATATCTTAGATGACTACTATGGACGATCTCGGAGACTTTTACGAAAGGGTAGGAAAATAAGCACAACTCGCAAAAAACCATCCTAAGCGCCATCAGGTGTTCTGCTAGAACTTATGGTGTGTTGAACTTCCACTTGGTCTCTGGAATCAATAAGCTATCATTCAAAAAGCACCATGACCTGGCCTCAAAATAACAGACATGTACGTACTCTAGGTTGAAGTGATGATACCTAGCGCTTTCATTTCAAGTGACGAAATAATAATTTCATAAAGTTTCCACTCATCTAAAAAATCCTCTCGCCTTATGAGGCGTAGACCAAGCTGAGATGGATCTCTAGGTCCGGTTGCGGGGATTATCGGAATCAGAGGAGGCGGTCGCGCCTCCCAGTCCTGCCGTGCTAAGGAAAAACGCCGTATGAACATTCGAGAGTTGCCAAATTTCACCGGATAAAACATGTATTTTTGAAGAAACTTTTCTATCTTTTCCCTTGAAATTTTCGGATAATTTAGATAAAATGGAGATGTTGCATAAGTGAGGAATTTGCGATTAGACTATTGATTCTTTTGTGAAAGTTCGCGAGAAACACGATGGTTCCACTGGTTCTCTCTGAAATCAACTCCTAAACTCAAAAAAAGCTCTCAAGTTGAGGCCAAAATGGAGGGGATGATATCCCACGCTATCCTGAGAGTCCACCTTTACAACAAGACAAACTCTCCATGCAAAGATAGGGAGCAAATACATTAGCTAGCAGTGATGCCAAGTTTTCAGGTTTTGGAGTCCCCAAATAATGTGGCAGCCCTGTCAATGTATTTGCTTCCTATCTTTGCATGGAGAGTTTGTCTTGATGTAGAGGTGGGCTCTCAGGATAGCGTGGGATATTCCCTCCATTTCGGCCTCAACTTGAGAGCTATTTTTAAGCTTGGGAGTTGATTTCAGAGAGAACCAGTGGCACCATCGTGTTTCTCGCGAACTTTCACGTAAGAATCGACAGTCAAATCGCAAATTCCTCACACATGCAACATCTCCATTACAAGAAAAATTGTCTAAAAAATTTGAAAACAAATGTTCACAATTTTCCCAGTGAATTCGTTTGTCATTGAAGGAGATATGACAACGTCTGGAGGCTCTTACAGCGTTCTTACTTAGCACGGCATCAGTCTTGTCTGGCCATAATCAGATCAGATCAGGGTGGAATCGAATCATCCGGAGCTCCTAGTTATTAGTGGCCGAGTCTCGTTACCTGTAGCTCCGTTGCGTAACTTGGAGAAGCCAACTCGTCGAGTCGAACGTAACTCGATCTGACTTAATCCGTCGGGGCAGGAGCCGGCCGGCAGGGGTTGCAACCGAGCGACTTTATCGTGAATCTATGCTGAATTTCTGAGGGTTTTCAGCTAGTCGACCACATTCTCTCGGCGAAGAAGGAACGGGGTATACTTAAAACGGACCTTCCTATACTGCCGTGCGAAGGAAAAACGCCGTATGAGCAATTTAATGTTGCCAAATTTCCAGTGGCGTGGCGTGCTTTGCGATATATCGATCGATACGCCACTCAAACCTATGAAAAAAGATCGATTATTAGGGTGTTCGCAGCGAACACCTTAGAAATCGATTCTTTACCATAGCTTCAAATGGCGATATATCGATAATCGATCATTCTCGCCACGCCACTGGAAATTTCCTTTCAGAAAAGAATTATTTGGACGTATTTCTGTCAAACGGAACTGAGCGCCAAATTGAGTTCCTTTTGAGGCATTTAGAATACCGGATAGCGTGTTCTGTCAAACGGAACTAAGCGCCATGGAAAAGCATTGCGAGTATCGGATGGAATGAGCCCGACGCCCAATTCCGCCGCCAATCCATGCCCCCCCCCCCCCTCTACCTTCCTCCTTCTATGGCGCTTAGTTCCGTTTGACAGAAATACGTGCATTTTTCAAGAGAGTTAAGAGCATTTTTCCAAATAAATTTCAGAAGTTTTAGATCAAATTACAAACGAAATCCTCTTAAAAATCGGAAGAAAAATAATCATAAAGTTTCCTAAAAATTCATGAATTTTTGAAAGAAATTTAGCAACGCTTGATAGCTTATACGGCGCTCTTCTTTACCACGGCAGTGCACAGGTGCACTAAAAGCTACCAAAGCAAGGGAATGTATACTATCCTATCATGTATGAACCGCGAGTGTCCCTGTCTGCAGAGCTTGAAAATCTGATAAAACAGGGGCGGAAAATTTTACTTAAAAAATATCCAAAAACAGGACATCCTTTAAAAATCTTAGACATAAGTTAGTTCCTTTATGGAAGAATAACTCATTGCAGTTTCTTATTGCGAAATGTAGACCAAATATCTAAGCGATGCAAAATTGCTTTCACGAAATGACTGCATTCCTTGTTACATACTAATATCTCGGGGTTTTCTCGCTTTTTTGTGAGGCATGCAAACAACTTAGGTAAGGCTTACAAAATGTTCCGTTTAGATTCAAGTTGGAATCAAGAAATCCGTTCTTTGAATGGACGTAATAAATTATGACATTACTCGAGAGGAAGACTGAAAGGGTATGTAGGGATCCTATTGGTAGAAGCAGGTGGTTGCAATGGAGGAGGTAAGTAAAGGAGCAGGCGTGAAGAAATAGCCTTACAAACGGCAACCCATGAGAGACCCTGAAATTAATCCATCATCTTCTCTGTTGTTCCATAGGAACGACCCCTTTCAACTAGTAGAACCGCTCCATACTGCCGTGCTAGGGAAAAACACCGTATGAGCCTTCAGGGGTTGCCAAATTTCCCCTGGCAAATCACTAATATTCAGGAAAAGTTTTGACTATTTGTCTGCCAATTTTTCAGATAATTTTCTTTGTAATTTGATCTGAAACTTCTGAAAATTTCAAGGAAATATATTCCTAACTTCCTTCAAAAATAAACATTTTAACGAAGGAACTTTGGCAACTCTCGAATGTTCATACGGCATTCTCCCTTAGCACGGCAACATACTCCTTATGTCTTCTTTGTCTAAAGCTTTGTCTATCAATTTACACAATCAGCCCGCAGCTTACTTTCCTTCACTTTCTTCGATTCTGCCTGATTCCAACTTGCAGGACACCCGGTGGGTTCCCGCGTCCATGCAGAGACAGAAGGCGACTTACCGGGTAGATAGACGCCGGACGTGAGCAAAATATCCTGGACGCTTTTGACTTGTGCCGGGGGTTCTTGGTCGCCGTTGGTCTGGACCTCGGTCTCGGCTTCTGGTTTCACTCTTCGCCCGTCCTCGGCGCTCGTCTTCCGAGCCGGCTCTGCAACACAAACAACAACAAAAATCAGCCCAAGATGACGATGCTTCGGCCGAGAGTAAAAGTCCGGTCGCGTGTCACGGGTCCCTGATCTCCTCCAAGATAGACAAAAATAAAATGGACGTATTTCTACCAAACAGACCTATGAGGAGGTAAGAAATATGGGGTGTGCTCGTTAGTTCTCTGGCCGTAAGAGTGAATGAGAATAAAAAAGCGCCAGTGACGTCAGCGGCGACGATGGAGCTTCCGATCGACGGATCCGTATCTTTACCTCATCAGCCCTGTCCACAACGCTCTCTTGCCATGCCCGCGGCTCATGAGTTCCGCATTCAGTTGGCACATGGGTCTGTTTGATAGAATGTAAAATCCCGCTTTTCCAATTCTTCAAGAGAAATCACGCCCACATTTACATTGCTTGTTATACAGCTTTCTAGAGCAAATCCCATGTTGTTCACCTCAACATAGGTCTGTTTGGTAGAAATACGTCCAAATGTCTCGGAGAAAATGGAGATGTTGCATATGTGAGGAATTTGCGAATAGACTGTTGATTCTTTTGTAAAAGTTCGCGAGAAACACGATAGTGCCACTGGTATTCTCTGAAATCAACTCCCAAGCTTAAAACTCTCCATGCAAAGATGGGGACTCGAAAACTGAAAACACGGCAACCCTGCTAATGTAATTGCTCTCTATCTTAGCAAGTGAGTTTGTCTTGATGTAGAGAGGGACTCTCAGTCTCAGGATAGCGTAGGATATCCTACATTTAGGCCTCGACTTGAGAGCTTTTTTTGAGCTTGGGAGTTGATTTCAGAGAAAATCAGTGGCACCATCGTGTTTTCCGCGAACTTTTACATAAGATTCAGTAGTCAAATAGCAAATTCCTTTACTTTCCAAAATTCAGTTTTCTCCCGGTAGGCAAAACCATACAATTTCTCAAGAGCAGAAAAGTGATATATGACGATACCTAGGGCCGGATTTCCTTGAGGAACCAATCACCATTGATCACCGAACCCTCACAATTAACATCAATGACTCTGGACTTTTAAGGAAAGAGGAAGCGCTCGGCTTAGCCACGGGGCCCGGAGAACCGTTTTTCGTAAGTCGCGCGATCAACGACTCGCAATCCAAATAGTTTCCCGGTCGAGGAGGTGGGCATGTACCGCTACGTCGGGGACCTCGTAAAACATCCGCGGGGAGAGCGTTGACAGAACCGTGCCACGCACCGCGGAAGACGCGAAAATGTTTCACTCCGGCTCCGAAATCAATCACAGAGCCTGGCGAAACGCCCGGGCAATTTGTTGCCGAAAAAATTGGCGGAATATTAATTAGACCGAGATTTATTTCTGACTGATCTTCGGAGCGGTTCGCGAAGACATGACTGATAGGCGCCGAGTCGGATGGATTGGGAAGCGCCGGGTGTGGGAACCGTACGTTGCCGAATCTGCCGTGATGGCGAAGAGAGCAGTAATCGTCGAATTTTCGAAGTCGAGTCTCCTTCAAAATTCATCAAATCTTTTTTAGATGAAATCACTGAAACAGCTAAACAGCAAAATTCATCTCAACATTATGAAAACGAGACGTGAGAATGCCGCAAATGCGCAAAAAATGACGTAGTTTCAGGCGAAACAGCCGTAAGAGACATTAGTCCTCCAGAGATCACACGGAATTCCACGATAGTGGAACCGTGGATTTTGGTAATATTGTTGATGAGCACAGTAGCATAACCATGCTCATAATATTATCTCTGTGCTCACGGTAATATTACGGTGAACAAGGTCATATCACCACGCTCATCGTTACAAGAATCAAAATCCATGGTTCTACTACCGCGGAATCCCGTGTGACATTACTACAGTTGTAACGGTAGAATAACTGTGGTTTTTTCTCGGTGTACTTCGAAAGGGTAGTGCGCAAACGTTGTCGGTTGTTAAAGTGTGCGCAAACATTATGCAGCAATGCACGTTCACTTCATATGACCCTACTTCTTTTTACTTCCAGTTTTCGACCCTGTGTAGGGGTCCATTTAAACCTGGTTCCAACATTTTTCTTGTCTCTTAATCTTTTGAATGTGATTTAATTAGTGCGTTTTTTCTTAAACTCAATGCATTTGTCTTGGATAAACGCGTTTAGTGAGAAATCTGGCATCGACGCCTTGAAGGCAGGGGCAGGCGAGAGATTGATCGGATCGTGGCGAATTGGCCGACTAATAATTCGCGGGCCCCCAGCGGCCGAGCGGCCACGACCGTTGCCGACCGACAACCGATCCACCGATAATTATTAATTTGTGTTCCGATTCATTTACGCTTGTTTGCTTTGTTAATGAATCCACTCCCGGAATCGCCATCTTGCTTACTTCATTGGTCACTCCGAGTCGCTCCGGTGTTGCCAAAACAGAAAAATTCATGCATAAATTCCATAGACCACTCGGCGATAAAAATAACTCACTGAGAGGAAATTTTCTTGAGATATTATTTTGACTTAATGCGTCATTTCTTGTCGACAAAATTAGGATTTTTGGGGGAAAATCCGTGCGTATTCAAATAAAGTTAGTTTTTTGAGTTATAGAAACGTTATTTTGTTACACCGGAAAAACACATTGGATCTAGAGTCCAGACTCTTAAAAACATCGACAGGAAAAAATACTCTTGATTCAATCAGATTTAAGCTTAAATCAAGAACCAAGCCTCTTAATTCGAGCGGATTTCCTTTTGATTTAAGCTTAAATCTGATTGAATCAAGAGTATTTTTTCTTGTCAATGTTTTCTAGAGTCTGGACTCTAGAGACAATGTGGTTTTTTTCCAGTGTACCGTTTTTAACGTAAACTTAACGGTTATTAAACAAAGCTTTCGTAACTTTAAAAAAAAAAAAAAAAAATAATTGTGCTGATGGATCCGCAATTTTCATTTACATCACTGAAGGCTTCAGTAAAGGTTCGAGGACTGGCTGAAACTTCTTTAAAATACCTAATTTTTAAGGCTTTCTTACAGGGAGAAAAAAGAGAGTTGCAAGAATAGTGCTGTGCATTCTAACTTTCACAAGTCCCTGCTTATGAAAAGTTTTTCCACACCGAACGAAAGTCTATCAATTGAAATATTGTGGAGAGAAGGTAGCGGAAAAACATTTGTATTTGACACTGACATTTAAAATAACATACATTTTTGGCCGCGCACGTGTAGAGCGCTTCCATCCGAAAAATTCCGATTTCACGTGAAACGATCCTTGTGTTAAAGTTTAAAATTTCTTGCTGCTAAATTAATCGTGCCAGGAAGTCACTCAAAATTCCCCTTGATTGGTCAAGCGGAAAAAAATGAGACACAAGAACGCCAGCTACCGGTCGGCCATCTCAGACATTTCGTCGGCCACATGTGTCTCCCAGTTCGGACACTACTTTCTTTGAGGAGGATATCAACTGGGGAAGCGGAGAAGGACTTAATTTCACTTTCGATTCATAAGTATCTTATGTTTAGTTCCTTTTCTAGAAAACAATGCACCGCCAAATTTTGGAGACCAAAAGGTTATGCACAAAAGATAATCTTCATTAAAATTCATACGTCGTACATATCAGGATCACCAGAGAGGAGCTCTCAAGTTATTAAGATAAATTCAAGCCGTTATGAATGGGTAGCCGAACTTACATTAGAACAGGATCTCACAATGGACAGTTTTATGACTGTAATACTTTTCGTTTGGAAATTAATAGGGTTTGGATTTGTTTTTAAACGATTTTGGCATTTCACTTTTACCATGGATTAGGCAAAAAACACAATTATAAAAAAATTCGCCAAAGATATTGCTACCGCTTCAAAGCCAATTTACGGACATTAATACAATCGTGCGGTAAGATAATTAGTTGAAAATTTAAACAAATCTTCTTCATATCCTCTACTACTAACAAAAAAAATAAAATATTATGCACTTTTGGATGTAGTTAGGGTTCTAATTAAATCCGTCCAATTACAAGTGACATTTCCCGATATATCCTTGAGTGAAGTAACTTTTTCCTGATCGACCCATAGTAAGCCAAGGACAAAATTATCGTCTCCGGTCGAAAGTGCAATTTTACGAGAGAAATTTCGATTATGTGTCAGAACCATACCGCTGTGCTAAGGAAAAACGCCGTAAGAACAATCGAGTATTGCCAAATATTCCGTGATAAAATTAATTTTAAAAGGAAGTCATGCGTATTTGTATTCGAAATTCTCAGATACACTGGAAAAAAAAACAAAAAAACATTGGTTCTATAGTCCAGACTCTTAAAAACACCGACAAGATAAAGTAGTCTTGATTCAATCAGAATCTAGCTTAAATCAAGAACCAAGCCTCATAATTTAAGCGGATTTCGTTTTGATTCAAGCAAAAATCCGATATTGAAGCAAGCTTATTTTTTCTTGTCAATGTTTTCAAGAGTCTGGACTCTAGATCCAGTGTGTTTTTTTTCCAGGGTACATTAGATTAAATTGCAAATTTAAGTGTCTGAACGATTGGAATAAAAACATTTACAACTTTCTCAATGCAGTCGTATTTTATCGAAGGACATTTGGCAACGCCTGAAGATTCATACGACGTTTTTCCGCAGCATGGTATAGTAGCCAAGCATGGTTTTAAAAACGACTTGTTCGCGCGTAAGAAACAGAGGCGGATGCGTCGTTTCAACTCAAATTAAGTCTTAAGCGGAGGCAATTCCAACTGGGACCACTAACGAGGAACAAAGCCCGAAATCGCTGTGCAGGCGTTGACTCGCAGATGTGTGTCAGGAGGTTCATTTTTGGTTGTTAACCTCGTCGAAAAAACCTCATCGGCGGATATGTCGGCGCATCCTCACAGACGAGACAGTCGTCAATTACGGAGGCACCTTCAATTTTTTTCCGCTCGGGAACCGAGGTAAATAAATATCGACCATTTTAATTTCACTTTTACGGTAACCGCGTGGAGAGGAGAGAGATGAAATATTTACTTTCTCTGCGCCTCTGACGAATTTTCGTGGGGTCTCCGGATGATTCATTTT